GAGTGATTTCGCTATTAGGTAAATCTTTTTCTCACGCCATGGATAAGGATTTGAAGTTGCTATTACTTAAGTTCCATGACTTTGGTTCGATTATTTGTCCCAAAATGTTAGTTGGATGCACATTTTGGATAAAATTGTTAAGAGCATCTTCAGCCCAAAGGAACTCGTATAAAACTAAGCAACCTAAAGTTGTTAATTTGTATAATGCACCAAATTGCTATTTGATCTGATCAGACTCCGAATTGCTATGTTAATCAAATCCAATCTTAGAATGTGAATTTCTCTACCGAGTTTCGACATTGTTGAAGTGATAGATAAACCTAGTTTCGGACTTATGTGTAGTTAATATCGATATCAAAGATCTTTGGAATAGAAATGACTTCGCTGGGTCTGAGCAATTCATTTTGGCCTCAAGAATACCCAACCTGCCTTTACATTAGCTAGAAGCCTGAACCCAAAAAACTCTGCAAATATAAGTTCAATTTTGGGAATAAGAAATAATAAGAATAAGAATAAGAATAAGAATTCCAGTTAGATAACGGCTAGGTAAATTCAACCCAAAGCCCATTGTATCTATGGCAAAAACGAAGAATTGAACCTGTGCTTAATACAAAAGGTTATGGTGCGCATAATACTAACTTAAATGCAGTACCAACAGTAACTGCCAAATTCATGTCAATATTGCCAAAATTTTGACCATTTACCTAATTAAAGTCATCCATCGCACATCACTGTAGCTATTTGTCTCCAGTTATCAGAGACTTGCATTTGCTACCCCAATTCGTATCTTTTCCGGTGCAATCTGTAAGTATTTCTCTAATATTTGCATTTAAATAACTCGCTCCGGTTTTCCTTCCTTGGTTGGTGCTCTCTCCCTTTTCTACTGATTATTTGTTCTCCACCGGAAATACTGTTTTTGATGGTGAGAAAGGTCTTAATTGTTCCAAAATGGTGGTTAGACTTTTTTCTTAGTCAAATTAAATGCAGTTTTACTTTACCATACCGTTATCAAAAATGTTTCGACCTTTCCCTTGTGTGACGTAATTTATTTTATCATTTGCATGTCTTCTCATTTGGGTATTTTAGGTAAATAAGGCGCCGCCTCTGCCCCTAGACCTTCCATCCGTGGATAAAACATGGACTGCCCTAGCAACAAAACTTCCTTCGGACAGAAGGAAAGTCATGGGGAGCTACCCTATTATTCCAATATGAAAATAGTTGGTAGCGCAGTCCACCATGTTGTAACGATTGCTTAAGGGTTACAACAGATATCGGCTACAGACGCCTCCTTTTTTAATGATCAACTGTAATTCTAGGCGGAGGTTTAGACCCTTCCTACGCCTTGTATGCCATTTTCCGCAGTAAAAGATGTTCTACGTGAAGGTCCTTCTTCAAAGTTAAATAAAGTCAGAGGTGTATTCAATTTAATTTTAAACTTGCTCTTTTAAATTACAAAGGCACTTCAGTAGTTTAGCTGGTGCCATTTCCTCTTTAAAAAAATAACACCTATTTAAACTTGAGCATCTCACTGTCGACCTATATTTACTGTATTCTGCTGTAAGGCCTTGTGACATTAAAAGATTATCGATGACGCAGACTAGGCGTAAAAAAGTGACTATACTAATTTCTAGATTGCTATACATCCCAGCTTGCTTCAGGAGCTAAATCGTGAGTAGCGATAATGAGTTACAATGATACAGGGAATTCAGATGCAAGTCAACATCATCCTCAAGTAGAACTGTATCACAGTACTGACATGTAGGCTTTTGATGTTGTGTAATAGAGGTAAATAAAGTGCAGCTAAAAGGTAGTTGGTATGACTTTAAATGGGCCGCCAGCTGAGAAGTGTCAAATTGGCAACAGGGTGGCGTGATGAGGAAGTCCCTTAGTTTTTATGTAAAAATGCGGGTTACTTAAATCCCTACCAAGAGACAGACGATCCAGAGATAAGCCATTAACACCTGGCATGTGAGACGCTCTCGGCGGAGAACACCAAACATGTCATCCCCATCTTGATGTTCCCAGTTTCAAGGGTCCAATATCTCTAAGATTTAAATTATAGCAGCCGCTACTTGCTATTTCACATATGACACCGAGAAAAAATGGGTTACTATCATCTATGCCCAAAATCTTCAAAATGCACGCAATTTTGGAGGAGGAACATGCTAAAGCATTTTTCTTTTTAACGTTATGACTCATTAACATGACTATGCCATACGCAATACACTGTGTAAACTAATATCCACAGTTAAATCATAAGAGGATCAGAATTTGAGCCGGCTCATGCCAAAATGCTTAAAATATTAAAAATATGAGAACACTGAATGTGTCACTCCTAGTCTTTACCATTGCTGCATGGAATGCACATTTGAATGCAACACTGTTCCGCTCTGCCTCTCCCCTAGGCACTCAATTCACCGTAAATGTGAAATCGCTAAAATTGGATGGGTGACTAGAAGGCTAGTGGCACTAAGCAATGATCAACTAATACACCAACCCGACCTACCAGCATGGTCTGGTATCCCACCATCGACTGCTTCAAGAAGTAGTATGCCGATGATGTTAAACCGAGTGAAAGTATGGTGATGGTAAGGACCAATCTAGAGGTGGATACAGTGCACAACATTATCACAGAGGCCAGTGCCTTAGATAAAATTTAAAGACAACTAGCCTCAATCTACCACCTAGTTCACCCACTGGTGACAATTTAACACATATAAGATAATCAAGCAAACAGAGGGACTTATTTAAAAAATTGTTATGATTATGATAGCTTGCAACCATTCACCGTCAAACTTCTCCATTCGACTTGTCCAAACTTTTCTATTTTTGTAGCTAATTTGAGAACATTTCAAAGCGTCATGCTCTCCTTCCAACTCTGGTCACCATTATCGTTGCTGTGCTTATACAGCCCTGCCTGATTAGCTCCTGTCACATACGGATACACCTTGGGTGTGCTAATAACCATTTTAAAGTCAAGGTGAAGGTCAAAACGAAGAGTTAAGCAGAAATTATGAACATGAATACGACCAAGACAATGGCTGAGACTAAGTGAATAAATGTAACCACTGAAACTACCATCAAAACAACTATTTACCATGACCATGATCACTCATGTGATAAAAGTACATGAAACTGACAACTGTCAGGAGTTTGCGCCAGTCTCACTCCCC